AAACACAAAAAATTCAATCAGCTTTAATTTTGAAAGTTCACTTTTTTGACTGCCTTCACCGCTGATGACCAACCAGTTTGAGCTTGCAGAAGAAAGCAAACATTCCCGAGAACTACACCAACTTGTTACGTAAATGAAGAACACAACCAAAAACTTTTCTTTAACAAATTTATTTTCAGTTTCATTAGAAGTATACAGGTTTTGGAAGTGATGGGCCACTCAATAAAACAGTAAAATAAATAACTCTTGTCCTTAGTATAAACTAAACAGAAGACGCTTCTTGTTCATGAGAATATCACAATTACCCAGGGGCAGTATGAACGATAAGTACAAATGCATTTACACTGACCAGATAGTTAAATAGGCACATAAAATGTGACGATAAACACGATAATTTAATGGTTATAATTCAACCGAGAGACAAAAAAGTAGCCAGAGTAGTTTTTCGCTTAGATTTGTTTATGTCCTGTTGTAGAGGTTCATTATCTCTAGATTTCTACGTTAACATAAAACACAGATGACATCTAAGGAAACCTAAGAAAATGATATAATTTTTCCTTTAACGAAGAAATGAAAATCAAGTGATTTTAGATTCAATGCAAAATAGATTTCTCAACCTACAGACCGCACTTTGCTTCCATCTTGATGATGGTGTGAAGAGAAATGTTGCTTTCTTGGAAATTTGAGTTCATGTCTGGCAGTACTACATTTAAGTATGCTACTGTGGACCTGCTCAAACCGTTGCTACCTTTGATTATGTAGTCATGTAGTGCTTTCTCTAATATCTGTGTGGAACTCAACTATCATCAGCTTTCAGATACACTCACATGATGAGTTGCAGAAAGCATGAAACCTAAATCCAAAACATCTCACATTTTACTGCCAATCAGCAAGTATGAAACGCAGTGCAGAGATTTGTCATGCCATGTAACATGATTCAGTTAGCACCTAGAACCCGATCACTTTTCGCTTGCTATTATCTCATGATCAGTATATGCATTGTTACTCTTTAAACTATCACAGAACAGCTCTGTCTTATTCACTCTGATATGCACTGATTCAATGGTTGTTGAGCGATATTCACTCACAATTTGAGGGAGAATCCGGAAAATAATTATGTCACACTGAACTCTATATTGGTTAAACTGAAGTAACTAAAATACCCGACATTCATTTCTCTAGTTTTTGGCTAATTCGATTGTTATCGCGCTTCGACTAGTTTGAATAAAAAGTCAAACAATGTAAAACAGTTGACAACTCTGATAAACTTCATAAGAGTGGTGTTACAGAAGAACAAATAAAGAATTTGTGCACCTTCATGACATTAAATAATGATGACAAGCAGGTCACCATTTGACCTAGTATTCGGATTATCATATCGGACTATTTTCCGATAAGCTTTTTGAAACTGGAATGCACCAATTTGAATCGTTCACTTAAAATCTGCAGTACTATTTTCTGCCAGTTTTTCAGAAGTTGACAGACACAAATGCATGAAAAGACTTATCACGGCTTTAACTATTCATAAAATCAATTTTATATTGGACTTAGTAGAGAGGTTGACAAGTTTAAAGCAAAAATATAGAACAATCATGTCGCAATATGCATTCTGAAACCAAAGAAACTATGCTTTTCGGAGAAACTGGTGAACATTATTCCCCAATATCGGACCTGCATATCTCTTTAACTGGGTAGGACAGTTAGTATAAAGCTTACATGTAGGCAAAATAAACAGTGAATCCAAAGTTACCTATTTAGAATCGTTCACCAATAATTTTACACAAATGAATTACACTATCATTAAATTAAAACGCTCGTTGGATTCTTGCTTTGACTTCGATTTTCAGTTCACTTTCAATCATTAGCCTTATTACTTCAAGACCTATCTATAAAACCAGACTATTTCAAATAGTCTCATCAGTGCTACGACAAAATATGTCGAGTTGCATTGTCATGATATTCGATGCAGAAGCCTAAGCAATACTCAGGGCACCTTTACTTTGCTAAATTACTTAATGCCTGTTAAATAACGCTAATAAATGACTTCCTTAACATAGCTGAAGTCCAAGTCTAGTATTTGGCTAGGATATTCAAAAACTACGTCTCATCTTACCCGCTAGATGTCACCTAGATATGCTCATATCAGAGTGAGAATCCTTAACAAATCACTTGACTTAACCGTGAAGGAATCAAATCATTTCTGGTAGGTTTCAGAGAAAAGCATACTTTAAAAGAAATGTATTGTTCATGTAATCGCTAGAGTAACTAAAAAATACGCCTTGGTAACATCAGGCCGAATAAGTTTATCAAGTAAACATGATACCTAGAGGCATGTGTTGAATTCTAATGAAAAAACAAATAACTTTTTCGCACACTGGGAGGTTTTTTTCTGTGAGGATCTGTTTAGGTGCAAATACACATGATATTTCCCTTAACACGTAGAAAGCTCCCTTCAATCAACCTAATGCAACACACAACACAGTTGTACAAAAATAACACTTGTTGTTTCATGCACTGACATTCTTGAAACTCGTTAACGCTATAAGGTTTACTGGTTCATTTAGGAGTTTAATAATTACATTTTTATATCTTTAAATGAATGGAGTAGAATGAATCTTCTTAGGAGAAACTTGTAACCAACTTTTGTTTTGAACACTAATTTATACGAAGTATTTATGTGTTTATAAAAAGACTGACTTTAATGCACGCAAATAAGGTATAATTTCACTTATTTTCTGTTATTTATATACACAGCTGTAAGAAATTAGAAGTAAGTTTATTTAATTAGTTGCCCCTCATTCTCAGATCTCCTTTCCCTCTTATTTCTGAAACTATTTGAAGGGCTGTGGTTACAAGACACACTAATATTTAATTTGCTCTAAGTCATTTCCTGCTTTTTTGAATGAATTGTTACATAATGAATTCTGTATTTACAGGATAAGACCCTTTTAAAATAACATTAACATTAATCGATTCACTAGATTTTTAAGTAGTACATGACCTTCTAAACTGATTTCCAATTGGTTGGTTAGACACAGAGGAATTACAAGTGTTGGATAAATTCTAGTTTATTTTTGTGCTACTTCAAGAATCAAGAGACCACATTATGCATACCGAGAAAAATTTATCCCTAGGACTTACGAAACTATGTAACCTCATGACAGCCATCAGCATACATTGTGCATCTTCTTTGCTTCTAACCTTGTTCATCATTGCTTTTCAGCAAATTAAGCACTACGGCCTGAAGATACTAGTTACCAAACGCTGATGAAATTTAACGTCTGGTTTTACCTAACTGAGTCGTTCACATCTTACACTGTTTATTCCGTAAAGATGTGATTTAATTTCAGTTATTCAAACTATATATATATATATATATATATATATATATATATATATATATATATATATATATATATATATATATATATATATATATATATATAACATAGTCACTGCTCATGGTTTGTAGAGTTTATTCAGACAGACAGAAAAGAGACATGAAACATACCCGAAGTTTGAACAGTAATCCTCTTAAGTGGGTCTTTTTCTAACCTCTGCTTGATTGACAACTGAAATGACTAACTTCCAATAAGTAAAGTTCTAATTGATGCACTCAACAAAACAACAAAAGGTAGTGAAATTTGTATTACATTTTAATTTGAACAAGAAACTTTAACCAGGGGTAACAGTATACAAACCACTTTTATGGTCCTTTTTTCTATTTGATAATAACCGCTAATTTACTTTTGCTTGTTTGACAATTATTTTTCAAGTTTACTGTGTCCTTTTGAAGTATTTCATTTGAAACGGTTGGATGTTATCCTTATTCACATAAATCGTATTTCCTTTTCTTGAGAGGTACTCATTAAGTGTAAGTAAAATATGGTTAAAATGATTGAGGGGATTGTTCTTCTTAGATTAGTGTGTGAAGTAGTTTTGAGACTATCTATCATATGAATTAGCACTGGTAAGTTAATTTGAAGGTCTTTTAAACCAACACTTGGCAAGACTGGGTATTATAAAATGTACATGCAGTTTCCTATTCAGACGCAATAAAATTTTATATTACTCATAACAAGTTATAAAATGTACTAATTCTCGTTGATAATTGACAGAATTAGTTGTGTTAGTAACTGACAACTATGACCACTCAGCAGAGTCTGACATAAGGACTTTACTCATTTAAACTAGACGGCTGATTCCTCCTAGTTTGAAACTCTTTAGCAAAGCATATGCAAGACCCAATAAAAGACCGTACTGAGAGCTGTCAAGTCTTATAGTCACCATGCACTCATTCACCTAGTGATTTGAAAGCTAATGATCCACTTTTCTCAATTTCTGCTGATTTGTATTATAACATGACAGTCATTCAGTATCACAACTAGGCATCCGTCGTCAACGTCAACTTCACTAACCTGAAAAGTCACATCTCAACAGCACTTCGGGAAACTCATTTACAAACAAGTCACTGATTAGTGATGTATAAACAAAAGAAACACAGGAGGCTAAGTTGAGTCATGCCTGAATTTAATTAGTGTTCTGTTCCTTAAGTTATCTACTGGAAGGAGCGAATAATGTCGGAAATGACTTCTTTGTGATGGAATCTGTTAGGTAACATTAAAAAACCATTTAACATAAATAAAATATGACTTCCTTTCTTTTTTTAATCAATACAGTACATTTAACCCCACTAGCCAACTATGCTTCACAAGAAGCTGGTATCCTGTCACTAAAATTAGACCCACCGACCTGTTAATCGCCTGATACAGCTATACGATAAATACAAACGGCAAGTTTCAGACTGAAGATAAGCCATCTTACCAAGAAAATTCTTGTTTATACCTGCTGAAAAGTAGTACAAAAATGGCTTAAGTTACTTTGTCCAAACTGAAAGTAGTTACATATGAACATATATCATTACAGTAATCACCTTTTTGTGTGCTCGTTACGTTTTCAAGATTATTGACTATTATCATTGTTACTATTATTATTCACAGGTTATTGCTAAGGACAGTGCACCAGAACCGTATACTCTGACAGGTACAGCAATTGTTGAAATTATGCTAGCTGATGAAAATGATGAAACTCCACACATTAATGTGATGCTTTTACAATCAAATATCGCCTCAGATTCTCTTCCATTAATTCATCATTCGTTTCTATCGAACAAAAAACTTACTCATCCAGACGGTGCGAAATTATTACGTGAATACACAACAACAATTAGTGAAAACCCACAACCGGAAACCGTGATTGCTTATGTTCAGGTAATGGGGCATTCATTATGATAACTTGTTGAAAATTGTTATTAATTATACCATTGCATTATTTCAAAGCGAATTTGATGATTTCATATCTTCCATTCTTGAAGTTAACCTCAGTTAACCAGGAAGTAGTTAACTTGCTTACGACTTTCAATAAGAACTGTTGACTTGCAGCAAATGAAAGATATTAGAAGTTTGCGGTATATGTTCACACTCTGAATCTATTCAGTGTCTAGGTTTAGATAGGAACTTATTTAATAGTCGAAAAAGAATACTTCCCTCTGTGACAGTTGGTCACTCTGATGAAAACTTATTGCTCATCACAAGCATTTTTCAGATATAAATCAGGCTTACGAAATAAGTGCATAATAATATTTTCATTTAGAATGGTATATACCCACACTCATAAATGCATGTGTATTTTGCATAATGAGTCTTGGACATCTTGTCTGTGGCAACAATAAAGAACTTGAATGCATACAACTGGTAGTTATTGACCAAGCTGTATATAATATAAGATTTGCCCCGAGAGTAGAATATTCCTGTACCTACCATTCAATATTATCTAAGATAATACAGTTGTCTTATTGAGCAGAATACCTTGCTGTAACTGAATGCAATAATCTTAACCATCGCAGAATTGAGATGATTGTTACTCATTAACCATACGGTTACTATAATATTTAAAAAGTAGTCAAGTTATGTCTTTCTTTTCAACTGATAGCATGTGACATGTAAAACAGTTGGCTATCAAAAACGGAAATACTTGTCTCAAAGTTATTTTACAGTATTCTCAAACTGTTTGAACACTTTGGTTACCGCTGGTAGTTGCCAACACATAAGAAACATTCTATATGCACTTACTGTTAGTCCCTTATTTCAAGAACTTCTTGATAAGATGAAATTGAAATGGCTGGTATTCATTTTCTCTGTGAAGACCTGATTATCTTGTGTGAATATACAGTGTGGTGAAAGAAACAAGATCGCATCCGAATGGATAAGAAAATTCTTTGACTAGTAACACAGAATTTGAACAAAATGATTTCTGCCCATTGTAAACCTTTAGTTTTGATTTACCGTACATCATCACGATTCGTATTATAGACAAATGATTGCCAGGAATCGATAAAAAGCAAAATCTCACCGTTTCATACAAATTACATGGATGCAAGTTTAAAGCCGTTTACTTGCGTATATCCTTTACCCAACTGATTAAGAAGCAACTATAAACTTCAAAAACATTGTGCAATCTAAGCATTCCCCAGTCGAAGTTGTAAACAAGAAGACTTTAAAAATCGTTTCACTAAATCAACTCAATTATCATCAACAAAAGTAAAAAACACAGGTTTTCCATCTCCACACATTTAACAGGTACTTCCACTGACTATAAACTGTAAGGTATTTGAAAATGTGGTATGTTTTAGCCATCTGCTCATAACTGTTTGAAATAATAACCCCCCTGCACCTTTTCTGCAGTTAACTCTAAAGAAGAAGAATACTGAGTAATATTAGTTAGTAGCACAAAAATCTTTCAGAACATTTCTTGAAGAAATGTACATCGTTTATGAGGAAAATCTGCTATTTTAAATTGCATGGCCTAGTGAAACTATAACACATAGATCACCATCTGGGTCACATAGCTTATTTGGTAGAGCACCAAGATAACGTCCCGAGGGTCTTTGGTTAGGACCCTGTCTTTACCCGGGTTTTTACTTCTCCTTAAGTTATCCCTTTGTGTCAACAACAAAAGCCCACCAAACTGAGGCTATATTAGTCTAGTCTGAAGCATAACATTTTAAATTTAACGGGCATTATAATAATAGTCTTTCCTTTATCATGGTTTGCAAGATTCATAACAGGAAAGAAAAGTGTGGGCAAAATTTGAGATACACATAAGTTGCTACTTTGGCTGCCATTTCATAGTCAGATTTATTTCCGTTTAGGTTTTTGTTAACGCCGTATTCGGTTAACATCAATCACATGTGTTTAAGGCGATAAAAATATATCAAAATTATCTCCCACTAGATGCCCTATTTGATTATTTACTACGAAAATAAATATTTGTGGAAACAAAAGAAATCTTTTTTACAATTCCAAAGTGGAGCCAGAAGTTATATTTATCCTGATGACTAGTGGTAGAATCCAGGACACATTTTTCGTCTTGTTTGGGACTTACCAGCTGGATGTACCTGCATTCCAATTAGTAATGTTGTTTCCACTGTGACTCGAACCCAGCGCCTATCGCTTCAAACGCCAGAGTGCAGTTAAAAGTTGGTTTAAATTCGGAAAAAGGCACTACGTAGCCTCATTCCAACGACAGGACAGTAAGTTTCTCCTCAGTAGTATGAAGCTTTATGAGTTCACCTCTTTAGGTGAGTGGAGGTAAGAGTATTGTTTATATAATAGACTCAAAAGAAAAGTTTTCTGGTGGTCGCCCTTGTTTTTCAGTATCTTCATACGTTAGCTTTCTTCGACAGGTTTCTTTTTATTGCCTTTAATTTCTTTTCTACACTTGCAGGTGTATGACCCAGATCATCATGGCCAAGACCATATTCACTGCCGGCTTGGACCAACAGACAACTTCACTTTACAATATGATCCATCCTCGTCATCAACTTCATTAGCATCGATATCAGCATCAGCAGCTGCAGCACCATCCTTAACTGGTAGTAGCTCGCTGTTGTATTTTACCAAACGTAATCCATTCTACGACCACTCACTGCAACAACCGAATGCAAACACCATACAAAATAAACAAGATTATCGTTTAATAACAGGCACTAGATTAACCGAGTTATCATCGCCTTATTCACGCTTAGATCGTGAAACGACTCCGGTCCAAACAGTCACTTTGACCTGTACAGACAGTGTCGGCAATTCGGCACATGTATTGATTAAAATACACTTATCAGATCTAAATGATAATCCCCCTAAATTTGTAAATAACGCACATTTTGTATTTCAAATACCTGAAAATCAAGAACTTCCAGGAAACAAACCAATCTGGTTAGGACGGACAATAGCGGTAGATAATGACCAAGGTATCAACTCTGTGATCACTTATCGTTTAGAAAGTTCTGATTACACGGTTACAGGACATGGAGATAAAGATTATGGAAACAGTGATGGTGATATGACTGCTATCACTGCGAGTAAAATTGACAGTGTATTTGAATTAAATCCACAAACAGGTGATTTGTATGTGAAGGTTGTGTTTGATCGTGAGACAACACCCAATGATGGGGTATATAGACTGAAAGTTTTAGCTATAGATGGGGGTGAACCATCTTTGACAGGTACGGCTCAGGTGGAGGTGTTCATTCTGGATGTAAATGACTGGGCGCCGCAATTCACACGGGAAGTGTATACCTTCAGTGTGCCAGAAAACGTAAGAATACATGAAGTTGTCGGTGAGGTCGAAGCTGTAGATCGTGACGCCGACAGTAAAGGGAAAATAACCTATCAGTTAATTTCACATGCATACCAGCCAGTTAATGAGATTTCTGATTGGGCAGTACACTTGCCTAATCAATACAGTTCGCGCAGATTACGCTCACGATCGTCTGTAACTGATGAGGACATGAGTGAAAAAACACCGCCAGAAGTAGCAGTCGATGAGTTAAAGAACAAATCCTTTGGTATATTAATCAGAGACAAACGTTTCAATGATACCAGTAAACAATTTACTGAGTCAATGAATTCAAATATCCAGCAAGAAAAACTGGAGAAAACATTCGTATTGAACAAAACAAATGAATTGTTAAGAGAAGAAGTAAAGTCTGTTAAACCAGTAAGCAATTCACATTCAGAAAAATCACCTATTTTAATAAATTATTTTGCAGTTGATCGGTTAACTGGTAAAATACGCCTTATACGTGCACTGGATCGTGAATCTGTAGCTTTTTTCACAATAGAGATTATTGCTATTGATTCCGCTCCGATTTCTCCAATTGCATCATTACGTCAGATCAACAGTATACTGTCCACGTCAGATATCAGTGGTAATAACAATAATTCCACATCAAAAAACGCATACTATACACCAGTGCATAAATCATTATCATCTACTGCAACTGTTGTAATCGCGGTGACTGATGTGAATGATAATCCTCCAATTTTTCGTCGACCCAACACATCGACCGCTATTCAGCTTAGTTTACATGAAACATTAGGTAGACAACTGCTCACACTAGAGGCGACTGATGCCGATGAAGGTGAAAATGCTCGTATAACTTATCAAATAAGATCTGAAGTCCCTAGACCGCCAGGTGGATCAGGAACTGGACATTTTGCCATTGATGAATCAAGCGGAATGCTGTTTTTAGCAAGGTAAAACTAACTGGATATTCTATTATATTTAAGTCCATTTTGTGATTTGAATAGTATGCTTGGTATGTTTAAAAATGAAAACGATTAGACTACTGATTGAGTGACAGCCAATTACATACATCTCTTTTTTCGCTTGCAAAGGTACTATATGTTTTACCCTGAAAAATTATAAACTTCCCAGCAATGATTACCGATTTATAATGGTATCTTCAGTCGAAGACATGAAGACCTAAGTTGTACAACAAAGGAAGAATGTCTCTCAGTAAGAATCAGAAAATGTTGCTATTCTTCTCGTCAGTCAAAATGTTTATGAGATATATTGAAGAGAGTGACTAAAATCTAATGACTGTAGTTGAAGGAGATTAAACCAAATAAAAACAAGCCTTAAAAAATCTCCAAGCCTAGGTGATCCAAAAATGAACTATGCATAGCGTCCGTCAGAAACCTGGAGAATGAGATATCTCGAGCGCATGCCATAAACTTATAGTTGTCCTACGTATAAACTGATAGTACATCCCATTCCTAAACCATGGAAGTAAACCAAAGTCATCTGGTCAAGGAATAGAATATGGTCATCAACTCATATGATACAATATCGTCACAAACTTTATTTGTGAGTAAGGAATTTACTTTGTCCCCACCTGATAACTAGCTTGTAGGTACTGATATTCAAAGCGACTCACCAGAGATGACAACCCACCAAACGTCTTGGTGGTACTTCAACTCGATAACAACTGAGAAAGGAAAGAAACATTAAGTGAAAGGTTTTCTTAAATCAAAATGGTAAGCCGCTAGTACGTTTGTGCTGCTAATATCGATCCTAATCCGCATCCCCACTAGTCTTCAGATATCAGTTTCGCTTCTTTCACAGATGTCATATGGCTTGAGATCCACTTTCTGTGCATATAAACTTTCGTCATTTGCCAATCTTTCATCATGCTTCTACCTCAGTGTACACATCATGCTAGCTATGCGTTACATGTATCCTAATTATGTAGGAGATAAATAATTACAACCTTATTGGCTGACATGACTCCTTTATCTATCGTTCACCATCAAACCTCAAGAAAGTATGTAATATCAGTAAACCAGTTAAACTTAGCCAAACAATTCTTATGTACGGCACATCAGACATGCATAGAATATCACCATATTGCTACTGCTCACTGCCGATAAGCTTATTCTTTCCATTAGTAAACAACGATGTATATCGACTGCATATCGGTACTGTTATTGCTGTTCAACTTGTCATAATGTCCCCTGCTTCTTGACTAATGAATCCCATAAATTTAATACACTGGATTTTAATGGAATCGTATTGTGTGACAGTGATTACGCGATAAAATGTGTGATAGGAAAAAGACAACTGTATTTCATTCAAAAAAGCAATCGCTGACACTAATATTCGTTAAAAAGCTTTTATTCAAATGTGATTCCACGTAGTTTTTTATTCAAAGGATGTAATCAGAGTGACTATGTAAACCCAAGGTATCGAGATAGAATTACCTACAAAAACTGCTTTCCACCACCGTTCGAGGAACAAATTTAATGAAAAATAGGTGAAGTTACTTCACTATACTGGAAGACTTACCTCCTGTGTATGAAATTTTGCCAAGTCAGTTAATTTAAAGATCGATCCCTCTTTCTGTTATTACTTCCTGTTTTCATCACAGATCGATATCAGTGAAAACGAAGAAATATTAGATGTCTATTTTCCTGTTTCCGAATGCAATTAAACTGGATATCCATTGACCTTCCCTGGGTCGAACTCACACAATTCAGTCCTTGTATCTACCATACTGCTTCAGTAGCTAGCTAGATCTTTGTTTATAGATGTTAATAGCTAAACTTAAAATGGTGTTAGCATTAGCAAGAATTGTAGAACAGTGCCTGTAGCTCCACCGTATTTTGAGGTTTTCAGTGCTGGTTTTAGTGACCTCAAGTTTTAACAAGAACTACCATCATCGGGCAGTCACTTGTGATAACAATCGAACGAAGCCTTTTGTGACTCACTTGAAATGAAGACCTAGTTAGCGGCTGGTTTTCGCAGCTCACTTGCTAGAGTACCATGCACGTAAGCAGGTACTGGCTAGTTCGTATCCTGTAGGGGTTTTGGGTTTTATTTCACCTGTGCTAATCACTTAGTATCATAGATACAAATAAACCAGCTTGTAGCAATTAATTCAAGACTGGAAGCTCAGAAGACAAGTGTTTTTTTCAAGCCTGCTTTCCCCGTAGCTTTAAACCATTAAATATGTTGATTAGTCAACCTGAGGTGGCCCAGACTGACAGGCTGTTCCCCATGCCCGCAAAATGATGACCATAGCTTATGTAAGACAAATAAAGTGAGATATATATCACATTACTATTCGTTGCAACCCTCTAATTCCATTACGTCAGAGAGATGTATGACTTATATGGTGAACCACAGGTGCTAATTACGTCGGAATGAGAACATATGAAGACAGATAGTATTCAGAAAGTAAGGAGTCCCCTTGAAGTAGATTTTCCTTACCCACGACACGCTTGTGAAACTTATTCAGTAATTTGCGTGGTCGTGGTCAAAGTTTCTTTCAGACAAATATTTGAGTTTTTCAGTGACATACCTTGTATTCATGAACAAACTCGTGGACCATACGGCAGATTCGGAGTACTTACTTGAAAACCTGTTCAGTACATTTTACTGTCTTTTTTTCAATCATGGAAAATGTTGTTGTCCACCATTCGTTTGTCCACAAAACTCTAATCGTTGAAACACATAAAATTAAAATCGGTTATGCAAAAACTATTAAACTGGCAATGAGAAAAGCTTCATGAAAAACTCAGTGACGAAAGCACTTTTTTCTTTACGTGCTATCAGTCAAAAATGGTTGAACAACTAACCTTATTTCACTATGCTACTCAAAGTGAACTAATAAGCCACTGTACGGCACATAGCACGACGAGTTAACCTGTCTAAGATGTTGAATGAGGGGTCTTCTAATCAGACATATTGGTGAGAGATTAGTTATCGTTTACAGTATAAGTTCAAAAAACAAATCTATGGCATTTGCATCAGTGTTTGGCACAATCACCCAAAGTGACCAATATAAAGCAGTGTCAATTTCTGGCCTAAATCGTTGAGACAATGATTCAATTTCTGAATTTCCTTCAAAAAGTCAAAACTGATGAATGCTATGCTTTTAGATCATAGACACCTAGGCCATAGTCGTTACTAATGTCCTTAAAGAAGTTGAGTGGCGAGTCAGGCTTAATCATTATTTGAGTAAGTTCTAATATAACCTGGTATGTCGAATCTCACAAAACGAAAACGTTATGCTTTAAAGGCTCTGAAATCTGATAAATCAGTTGTCATAGCTAGAGTTGATAAACGTAATATCATAGTTGTTTTAAATAGAGACGATTATGACAAAATGGTATGGAACATGATAATTCGTGTCGACATGAAGTACATCAAATAAAATGAAAGCCAAAACATGCAATTTGCTCAGACAATTAAAACCAAAACTGGGAAATGCAATATGGTTTGCGTTAGCCTAGAAACCAATTCAGCTGTAAGATTTTACAGAAGACCTAAAATACATAAACTTGACGTCCCGCTTAGACCAGTTGTAGACTTCACTAATTGAGGAATATGCTAGACCTTCTGAGATTATATTAAAAGTTATTTATGTTTTACGCTTTCACCGTAAAATCACTCAGGTTTTTGTTAAGACTGATATAGAAATTACCTCTAAACATTCCTTAATACTTTTTAATTCTTTTAAAGACCTTTGAACAACACAATCACTCATCGTTTTGTTGTTGAAGCATGTGATGGTGGGGCAGGCTCTTCTAAACGATGCACACTATCCCCTAGTATACGAATAACTGTATTTGATGGTCTCAGTGAACCTGTGACAAACTCCAATGGTGAAGTAATGGTTTATCAGGCTGGTACAGCATCGCACAGTGACAATTTTCATCAAAATCGCAGGCAATCTGACCTACCATTCGATTTAGACGAGTTAACAATCGGATCTGTTGCTGCCGCTCAAAGTGGACGAAGAAATGAAGTTGTTGTTGTCTGTCTAGTGGTGATATTCAGCATACTTCTAATGGCAACAATTTTGTTGGTTATATGTTTAGTACACCGTCGTGGGTTGAGTGCACGTCAGTGGATTGTCAATCGTTCTGATAATTTACCACCAGATAAACAAGACTCGAAAAAGGATCTAAATATCATCAATAAAACTGCTAATAGTCGGTCAAATATTGACTTATGGATGGAGAATCGTAAGTAATATAACTATGACTTGATAATTTTATTTCCTATTTGATATATACAATTCAAAATATTTACTGCTATTTATTCGGTTATATAATATAGTACATAAATTCATTTCGACATTATTATTGGAATATGAACACAAAAAATAATGGAAGTAGGTTATTTTGCAGTCGGCTTCAACTACTCACCAACTATTGATAAACTGAAAGCTTCCACAACTTTCCAGTAGGAAAGTTTGAGCTTGACACTGAAGATGAATTAGCATCAATTTTTTTGGGAATATGTTTGAGAATTACATCACCAGATTTTGATTAAAGCAGTTTTCGATGAACTTTGTTACATTCGAGTATACAACATCAAGTAGCCCTGGTATTTTGACCTAAGCTTTTTTCATTCGTCACTCCGAACTGCTCTTTCGTTCTTAAGTTGCAAGAAGACATGACTTAAAATAATATGATCAATTTACAAATGATTAAGAAATTGTATGGTTCACGTTGATATTTATCTCAGGTGAGGGGTTTTCTCAACTTCCCAACTGTGACGTCAACAAGGTTTCGACTGAAAACCAATCGACAAAGATCGCAAGCTGTGATCTTTGACACAAAATTTTCATGAATTAGCAAAAGTTAATACTACTGAACAACTTCAGTAGCTATAAAACACACAAGCTAATCTGCAGAATTCACGAAATCTACAGATCAACCAGAGTGCTTTCTAACTACTCAAGTTGTTTGATAGTAGTATCTTTAGCACCACATGACTAATATGTTTAATGTTTCTTTTACCTACAACAGCTTGCTATTGCCGTTTGGCTAGTTTTTTTAGTTGTTATTTCTTCTTAGTTTACCATCTCTCAATTCTTTTTCATGTGAAATGCTTTGTAAGCACAGCTTCAAAAGGTATGGTTAGTATGGCAAATGGAAATAAAGAATAACACTATGACTTTAAGCCTATTTAATTCGTTTCACTTCGTGATAAAACACATTCTAGGAGATATCTGTTCACTGATTTAAATCAATTTGGGCTTCCTTGTTTGGTTAGTTCCAGCATAGAAGTGAAAGTTAAGAATTAGCATATTTAAAGACTGGATATTTGACGTCATATTATCATCATGCAGATGAAATTGGATAGGCTACTGGAATCGGATGAGCTTTCAGTGCAGTTTAATAAGACGTCAGTTCACGAAATAGTTCCAAATATATACCAATACCACTGCTGAAAGCTCTTTTTTAATGTTCAGACATTTTTTTCCAGGAGTAAGCTATTTACTAGTTCTTAGTCCCAATTATTTGTGACGTAGACTCCAACTACCTTTAGATATTTAGAGATCATGATTCTGTTAAGTCAATAAACAGGAACTACAGAGGTCACCATTCCCCAATTTCGCTTCAACCAGGGTCCAAAATGTGTTAGGTAAAATTTTGGACAGTATGTTAAACTCACCTTTAAATTAATAGAAATCTAAAGATTTCGAAAATAGCTTATGAAGCAAAGATTTGTAAGATTTAGAACCAAATGCACATACACAAACAAGAAATCTAGGAATTCTACCCTTTTTTTATTCCGTTTTCCACTGTATGCTGATGAGAATTTGACATTTTGAAATGCATCATATACTATTCCCTAAGAGTAATTTATCAAGGAAGTATTCTTAAAAAGGAATATACTTTAGTTTTCGTTGGCAAATATTTTAACTAAGGTTACTTTTTTCGGATTCTGTTTTCCTCCCTCTCACTTTCTCTTCCTCCTCTTCTTTCTCTTAATGTGTGCTTATAAGACAGACAAGGGGGAAGTTTATATACTTACTGTGAAACTGGTTGAATGATTTAGAAACCCATAAATTCAATATAATATGTGTGTACATGAATGAAATGAAATCCAAAAGGCGAAACGATGTTTTAAGAATGGATAAAATGTTTTCAATTCTATTTTACTAAATATAAGTACACTGGTACGATAACATCTGTTTTAATTAATTGCTGTTACACTGTACCTTCCTAACTTTGCAACTCTAGCCAACTTGACAATCTATTCGTGATAACTTCAGGGTCAGCGTACTGCCAAGGTATGGTATGTAGGCGAAACAGTTTTATATACACACACATTTATAAGTGTATATACAGGCTACATATTTAATGGCGGTAGCAGAAGTAGTTCTAGTGGACAGCAAAATTTTAAATAAATCTTTCTTCTGAAGGGGAAAATTGCGCCCAGTTTCATTTTAAGCATCTTTACCTGAGTATCGATTAATCAAAAGTGAAAACAGTATTTCGATTTGAAAGTGTTAATTATTAGAAAAGTTAGAAAGAAACTTAGTAATTTAAGGTATTTTTCACCACTGATTGATGTCATTCGGAGAGTAGATGAGTGCATTGAAGTACTGGACAGCTATTTAACACTATTATGAAACTCCTCTGAAGTGTGTACTAGCGATCCCACCAGGGATCGGCCACAGGACCTTCAGGTTACTCTGTCAGCACCGAGTCAGTATCCGATAGTCTATAATTTCCCACTTCTGTCAGTTTGCGATATAGCGTAACCTTCATTCAGTGTCGTAATTAAGAATCTGTCCTGGCATCACAAGTTCTTGAGTTGACATGGCCACTTCATTACTTGCTTCATAGTCTGAAACCTTCTTAAAAGTCCAGACCTTTCTCACTAACCGCTGATTGATAAAATAACTGACTTTCTTTTAATAGAAACGTTTCACTTTATCATATTTTGATTTCAGTACCTACTGAAAAAATCCAGTCGTTATCAAATTAGTGAGTTACATTCGAGAGATCTAAATAGCAGTTAACCATCTGAGCGTTCGAAACAAGTTAACCAGCATAGGATCCGGTATAAACTATGTTCAGATTCCAAGAACTGTCAGACAATCTGAATATAAAGAAATAAATTAAACGAACTACCGACACAGGAATCTGGCAAGTTGAAATCTAAGATGACAAAACTGCTGTTTTACATTTAAACCGTTAGATAACTTCTAATAGAAAGCCGGCTAACATCATAAAGTCTTTGAAGTGTGAAAACCTAGTATAAAGTGCACAGATATCCTACTGAATAACTTCACTACTCATGGGTAAAATTGGAAAGTTTGAAGTCATGAACATCTTTGTTGAACCTACTCCCATCATCATCAATCTTTGTAAGTGCCTCGAATGATCCAAAGGGAAAGTAAAGCGTTAAATATATATATCCTACCACGAGATAAGCACTACTGTTTTTGCTGTTAGTCATTTCATAAATTAAGGGAAAACATAATACTTATCATGGTGTGGCTTTGATTCACATAGAAGTACATTAGACAGGAACAAGTGCCTAAGATGCTGAGTCAGAATAAACGGAGCAATAGCTATTATCATTACTGAAAGACATGATGAACGTGTTGAAACCAACTACATGACTGTACAGTTAGACATGCCCTGTAAAAAAATAATGGAGCTTTTTAGTCTTTCTTAGTTTATGAGTTAAGAAGAGCCTTCTTGTATTGGTTTACTATAAAAGGTTTTTATGCCAGAACAAAACAAATCAAAACTGCTTTGTTAGCTATAAAACAGCGAAATTAATTTACAACTGTGATCTAATCCACCAACAATTTAGGAAAGTTCAATTTAGTGTCAAGTTTCGTTTTCCTGGTAAAAGGTGAAAGGCCTTCAAAATATAGGCTTTACAATGAATCCTACTGTTGTAAAATCATATTAAGTAGGCATACAGGTAAAACATTGACTTATAGTCAGTTCATGAAATATGGTTTCAGCAAGTAATACTGTTGCACGCTGTTTCTCAATAAAAAAATATATATCACCACCAATGGGTATAACTTAAAAAGACCCATTCTTTGATTTAACTCCCAAAGCGTTTCTGCGTCGCCATTCAAGTAACTTCTGTAGAATTTTTGAATTAAATCAGAGAAATTTGGGTCTTTGTCGTCCAGAATGTAAACGAAAGCAACTATTCAAAAAGCTAATCTTCAAACCTGCAAATTGGGCACAATCTTTCATTTAGTTTGAACAAAAGACTGTAACTCGTTGACAAACCTTTTGTTCGATACTTGAAGATGTCTTACTCCTCTCTCTGACAAAAAGTGCTATATATGTATCCATTCAACCTATTAAAACAATGAAGATACACGGAAGACCTTCTTTCCAAAACATGACTCAGCCTCTTCGATAGGGAAATCTCAGAAAGGTTCAACCTGAAAGGCTACTATCTCTTGTAACAGAATGTCATTAGGTAGAGAAAGTTGACACTCAGTAACTTCACATTCTTCCTAATAAATTAACTGTCCTTTGTTAATTTGTCAAATGACTTGTAAAGTCAGTGTAATCTCTGTAGCGTAGACATATTGGGTCAAAGTTGAACTAACCAGGTGTTCAATGAAGCCAATAGTCCAACTAGACTATCTGATAATAAAGTCAGTTTTCGAAGCAACTGAAATTTGAGTCTACTCTTCTAATCATAGTAGTCTTTAGTAATATCTATTGACAAACATTTACCCACCGTAATTACATGGACCCACACACTTGTGTGGTAGGCAAGTGCTACACTTATTGCGTCTAGGCCTGTAATACTGGATGGCCACTCAGACCTCCGAAGGTGGAGCAGGGTTTGAATATGCGACTGTGAGGTCGAAAGTCACGTTTGCATACTGGTGATCTAGATAATTAAAGTTTGCTACCGGAATGTCTCAATCGCCTTTAAGTCCCCCATTTGAATCATAGTAATGATGGATAGTGGCTAGCAGTGGAATCCAGGATGGGCATTTTGTCCTATTTAGGACTCGTCAGCTGGATGTACCTGCCTCCCAGTGAGTGATGTTGTTCCCACCAGGATTAGGACTCGGAACCGACTGCTCCAAACGCCACAGAGTTATCTGCTAGACCAGCAAGCCATCTCTTGTGCGGCGGGTATGGTTTTGGTATAACTGCTTGTACAGTACAGGTACATCCAGCTGACGAGTCCCAAATAAGATGAAATGAGCATCGTGGATTCCACTGCTAGC